CACTGTGATAAAACTTGGGATCATTCCATTGCTTCAATTTACTGCTCTTTCTGCCAGACTTCATGAAAAATACGTTTTTATAAGATTATAGTATACAAATCATTTTAACCCTTTATTTTAATATCACAATAAGTCCGACTCCATAACCAGTAAACTTACTGTTGGAAATACTCAAATTAAAATCTATTTTTAAAACTGTGCCATCTACATCACATTGCTCATACAGAAATATTACCATTACAACTACAGCTTGGCTCGTTTGGTTATGAAGGACATGAATAATAGGTTATGAATAATTCAAAGCCAGAAATAACACTGGCCGTTTTGAATGATACCACACTACGCTAAATCGTTTACTTTGTGTGTGTGTGTGTGTAAATTTCGAAACTAATTACTTTGTTAAAATTGTCGTTTCCTTAAATACGAATAACTTATTGATCAGCATCAGCCTTAAATGTGCATTATTTGAGTTATTGGTTACAAATAAAATTAACGTATATTCTTTAACGATCCTATGAAATGATAAATCATACTAGATATTGATGGGGCTTGAATCAGCTGTTTAAAGACAAGAAAGGGTTTTATGCTTCTCAGATGTTCTTACAATTGACAATATATCACAACAATATCCTTTAAAAACTTTGTAATCGATTTAAAAACCAGTTAACTAATAAAGTTCATTTTTGAATTGAATAAATAAGTAAAACGTTTAATATATCACTTTTTAATTTACACACAAGTTAGGAAGCTAAACACTTCCAACAATTTGTTAAAAGTCAACTTTACAATTATTGTAAAGTTGCTACCGTTTATTGTATAAATCGCCAATAATACAATATCAAACGTTTAAACCTCTTTTTGAGACCCCCTTTGTAAAGACATTTTGATGTTTTTTGCTTACTGTGTAAAGTTACAAAAGCAATAAAAAACATGAAATACACTGTGAAAAGTCGTATAAACATAAAGTTTCTGAAGGAAAACGACACAGTTGTCAACAGGAAAGGTGTATATCCTCCACATAAACAACTTATACTGAAAAGTTATAACTTGGAAATCAAAGACATAGCGACAACAGAGAAGTGAAGTTTATGGAAATCGTTTTCCAATACTTTGTATTTCTGGCATGTTTAGAGTTGGATCCGTTCACAGTAAAGGGTCTTTTGTAAGGTGATTTGTTGAGGTAAACCTATTTTGTTACTATGACTATTTACCTTTCACTCGACTTATCATTTACATGTATATTACATTGCATAATTTCCTTATTAATAGAAACATGATAAATTCTAAATCTACTACATAACGTTCAATTTCAAACATAACCTATACTAGGATGTTTTCTCATGTTTTGATCAGCTGAAAAAAGTCAACTAGCAGTTGTCATTAGTTTTGTATTGAAATGGGATGTAATTGAATAATTCAATAGTGAGGTTATGGAGTTCGAAATTAATATTAATTATTTATTGTACATTTGCAATAATTACATTTTATTTTGTCGCTATATTTACACATTTAAGATGCAAACATATTTAATATATTTTTTCTCAATGACAAATTGCTATTAAATTCTATACAGCGTGATTGATATAAGTGTGCCAGCTGTTTTATTTGAAAGTTATAAGAAATATCAAAAATTTTAAATTATAACTGCCCTGGATTTTTTCATTAAATAAATTTAGGTCAAGTTAAAATAATGATGTTAGCCGTCATTTTTCCGATATGGCCGCCAACTTTTATTTTTCTTATGGAAGATCCTTTATTTTATGATTTTTTAGAAATTAAATGTCATTTAAAAACGTTTTTATTCCCTGCATTTGTTTCTCTAAAACTACTCAATTAGGAGTTACAGCGTGTTAAAACTAAGAACGAATTACTTGCGGTAAACATTCTGCGCCATGTAGCTCAAATGCTTAAGAGTATATAAGTCTTAAAATTGGATCTAGATTCTAAAAAAACCATTATAACATTAGCAATAGTGATTTCATTATTGCAAAAATGGCCACTATTTTTCAAAACGGCAGAAAGTTTTTAAATAAGAAACTTAAGTAGCTTATGGGGTACTTCTGGAGATATATCCAAACCTAACACGTAGGAAAAAAACTCAATATTTATAGGAAAAGTGATGGTAAAGTAATTACAATCATGTCTTTCATGATGCCATATATTATGAAAACTTTATTGCTTCCTCTATTCCCGCAAAAGTTTCTTTTAACTGCCCTATTTCATCATTGCGTTTAATTGCATTAGCTAGTGTTGCAATGAGAATCCTCGCCGTCTCATATTACCCGGTTGCCTGACATGTTCTGGCGTAGCGTTTTCCGGGGTGTAACAACCAACATTTTTGCAAATCCCAGTCAAATGTGGGTCGACGTTTATTACATTCTTTCCTCTCAGCTACCAAACAGCGACGAAGTTTTTTAAACATGATGCTACAATGTATTTTTGGAACAAATATGTAATCATATACAGACCAGGGTCTTGTCAATATAACAAACATTGTAAAAACGTAATATGTGTTAAAAATAAAGAAATCAAAAACCAAAACCTTAGTATTGAGCCAATTTTAATTTATTTTTAGCTGAAAAACTCAAAGAGATTTTTTAAATAGTTTTTTGTAATAGTTGGTCCAAACCCTGGTCATGTTAATTTAAGGTCAAACTTTTTTAAATAGGATTCTATAACTGATAGCCTATTAGAATATAAATCCAGTAACGATCTGGATTGGACAATCACTTGATCAATCATACAATTCAACATTAACCTCTTTTAAACTTTCTACTGCTGTCTTAAATTGTAATCATACAAACGAAAAAGTAAAAAAAAAATAAGGGAAACGAATAAAATAATATAACGTCTAAGCTATTGAGTAAAAAAAGTGCTTCAGTTTAATTCGAGGGTTAATTTTTAATAAACAACGAAGCAATAAGGTTCCGAGAAGCTTTTTGAAATAAAGTGTGTTATTAAATCCTCCCTGAAAACATTTCATAATCCTCATACTTTAATTTTCTTGGAAATCTTCACATTATTAAATGACGTTGGATGTTTAATGATTGTTAAAATATTTTAGATGTACAAACAGTATTTTTTTAAGCAATTATGAAGTCAAAGAGAAGTAACGGGCCCATTTGTCACAAGCAGCCCCGCCTTTAATGGATAGAAGCTTCGTTGTTAATTACAATTAGGCCAGCTCTTGGATGGCTGCCTGCAAAAACATGGCGAATGTAATTATTGAACCTGAACCTTGGTGATTAGTTCTTCTGAAATATTTGAGTGGAAATAAAAATCAAAACCAAATAATAATTGATATTGTTGGGTTAGTCAGTTTATGCACTTTTTTATTATTTTTATTCAACAAATATTATAATACATTTAAGATGACATCATAAGTGATTAATTGCATGTTGAAATAATTTTCTAAAATTTTTAAAATAAACCAAACTAAAATTTTAAATGAAATGTTGAGTTTTTGTACACTTTTAACCCAAAATAGAGTTAACCATAGGTGTTTTTATATTTTGAAATAATTGATTTTACTGATGACTCGATCCTTTACAATCGGGAATTTGAGTAGATTGTTAACTAGAAAACCTTGAAAATGGTCTGAAGCTTGAAGATTATATCTAGTGGTTACAATAGAGAAATCAAAACTCTGTAGTATGTGTGGATATAGAGGGAACCTTATCATTTTGTTACTAAACCTCTAGTAGTTTCAAATATAAAAAGTCAAAAATTGCAATGAATCTTATTAGCCCAAATATTACCACACCATCAAACACATTAATTATCTTTTATCAGCCACAGTTAAAAAATAACTTATTACCCATATTACCAAATTAATACCATAAATTCTAGCTTCGATGAGTGCTAAATATGTAGAAGTGCGAGTAGGGGTAGTTTTTATAATCATAACATGAGACTCCAAACATAAAAAAGAATATATAAGAAAAGAATAACGTTTATTAGGAACAACGTTCATAAATTGTAAAAATTAAATCAATTTTATCTGATTATTAAGTGTTATTAAGTGTAATGGAAAAATCCTGAGAGATATATTATATTTATAGATAATATAAACGTCAACACGGACTAAGGTTATATAAACTGTACATGAACTAATAATTTAACTATTCCGAATATTGAAATTCCAATTATCACATTCCTAATATACTAAAGTTGAAGATATGTAAAAAATAATGTAATCATTAAAAAATAAAGAAATGTAAAATAAACTTAGAAATTTATGTAATCATTACTTTACATACATATAATGCACTAACGATATCTTTCAATTAACGCAATTATTAATTGCCACGATGGGAATTTTGACGGGAAGTTTTTGTAGACAACCGCCAAGATCCTTCTTAATTGTAATTAACATCAAGCCCCAATCCATTAGCTACAGCAACGCTCCTGGCGGCGGGAAGCGACAAATGTCTACATGTAACAGGCTTCACTGCCCTAATTGTTTTCACCACTCTTCTTGACGGAATGAAGTAAAACATATTTTAAAAGAAAGGAATTTTCATTTAAAACAGTCACATTTTCATTTATGTGCAACATTGTTTGTTATAAAGCATTTTGTCAATTTTCTGTCGATTTTTGTAAGCATAACGTATTATAATTTTTGTTGATTGGTCTGCAATGGGTGTGTAGGTTTTTCTTAACCTAAGGGGTTTTACTCTAATTCTAAATCCTCGTTAACGATTAAGAAAATGAAGCAATGTATAGAAATAAATATATAATCGTTAAGTTTCTAAAATTAGACGGTGAAAATAAAACAAGTAAATATCTGAATCATGTTTTAGCAATGGTATGTTGGGATGATTTGTGAATAATTAAACATTTTACATTTCCCAATCAGTACCAATAACATCGATTTAAATTTTTAAACAAAGTCTACTTTCTTATATTATCATACGAGTACTTAAATGTTGTTTAAAGTTATTAAATTTGTATACATTACAGAAATAATCTTAGCACTATAAATCTTATTGGTGACTTACCGGCTTCAGTGATGTGTGCCAGAAAAGTGCCAGTCTTTACGAAATGCCATTTTAATCTTCTACCTGAAAGGAGAAACATTTTGTAAAAATTGTTTTCAGACTATGTATACATTTAAAGTACTTATTCATTGTAGATACAAACTTCCCGGAATTAACTAATTTCTTTGAATCCAGAAGAAATCTCTTTAAAACGTTTAAATTGATGTTGATTTGTTATACAATATGAAAACTATTCGAATTAATCCTATACATTAATAAGCAGGCATGTTTCTTTTTTCTCAGCTCGTGTGCATCGCAGGCAAAATCTACGCATACTGTTAGAAGGATATTTGCTAGAAGATGTTCAGAACTCCTATATAAATAAAAATAAACTTTAAAATAGGCACACAAAATTTATTAAAAAATTTAAAAGAATAATTAACATGGGCCTAATGGGTTGCCTTGCCATGCTAGTGCCGAAATAACAACGAAATATAAACTAAATATAAAATCAAAAGGAAGAAATCCCATTCTAATTGCGTGGTGGAAATGGAGAGGATTGCGAAATTAATATTTTCAGTCGAGTTTTAGAGCACGTGGTTACCTCTAGTTTACTTTAATATATTATGTACGATTTATCAAAGCAACACATATTTATTATTTACATAATATGGTAATTAGCGTAGTTATTGTTATCAACTTGTCAAGTTCCTCATTATTGTACTATCATTATGATTACCATTGGAGATGGAGACGCCACCTATTGTCGGGACCACGTAAGTTTGCAGTTGGTAGCAGCCAATCACAAGACAAGGCTAGTGCGACGTAATCGCCCGTTGACAACACTAATAAAAATATACTATGCAATATTTTCAAATCAGCTGGTATTATTAGATTTGGCAACACCGCACGGTTCTCATTGGTTCATTCAAAACCATATGGTAAATAGGCTCCTCCCTCAACTGCAAACTTATGTGATCCCGACTCTAGGTGCGTATTTTAACCCAATATGAATGTAGAACCGTGTGAGATGATCTGTGTAGCTTTGTTACACGCTAAGATCAGCTGTTTCATCCGAGAATATTTTTTATTTAAAGCCCAAATCAGGAACAGCTGGTTTCAAAACATCAAACAGCTATTGGCTTTTTCAGGATAGAGGCTACCTGTTGATGGCTAAGTAAACTATATAACCACTATAAGTAGCTGCTAACTGTAAACTTGTTCAATCTGTGTGCAACCTCTTACCAACAGAGTCAAGGGTTAAGCATTCAAAAATTCTGTATCAGTGTATTTTCAAGTTTTTTTTTCTTTTCACATAGTAAGTGGTGAGGGGTTTCACCAACCCCTGTGATCATTATTACTATTACTGCCACTTGAACCTGTTTTCAGTAAGTATCTTGTAATACTTCTATCATTTTATGTAACCATATATAACCGAGCAAAAATCGGGTATTCTTTTCACTAAGTGCGTTTTCAAAAACCCACCTTTTAATTTACTCTTCTCTGTAATATGGGGAATGTTTTCATACCCTCACCCTCAAAATTAAAATTAATCTAGGTAACCGCAAGTCAAAATGCAAATTAAAAGTTATAATATTCTATTTAACTGATTATGTTACAATTTTGACTCAACGTCAGATTTTATCCTAATTTATTCGCTATATTGTTTAAATTTTCATTAGTTTATTTTTTATAAATTTTCTCCTTAAATATTTTTTATGCTTTTGGAGTTATTAACTTAACAATTTACAGTCATACATTTGTCGTATCAATTAATACTTTTTCCTATAGTATGTTTTTTTTTATTACAATAAATTTCCTAAAAAATAGCCTACTAAAGGTGAAAATTTTACCCTCCATAAATATAATTTTATTAGAAAGTCTACATAAATTTTAAACAAAGCAGCAAACTAAATAATTAAGCATTGAAATATCGTACGTTGATTTTAAATAGATGATAATATGATTTTTCTAAACCCATGAGTCTAACTCCATAAGTTAAACAGGATTTTCTTAATTAGTATGAAGCCCTCAAGCAACAAATAAGTAAGTAACGAAGCAGAAATATTTTTTTTTATTCTGAGATACTGTATTGCTTTGAAAATTTACCGCAAGGAAATGTATACGCTCTACTTATGGAGTAATGATAATGTTTCAATTTGCATCGCTGGTTACACAAAGAGGTTGAAATAAAGGTAATTTGACGATGACAAAAGCGACAAATTACGCTTGTTCCTTGTAAATCCTCCTTAGTTCTTTCCATCACTTTTTGTATAATTTTTTGCCGATTGCCAAAGAGGTTTTTTTCACTTTAATTCAATGGTTTCCAAACTGAAACATAGCGTAAAGCTTGTGCAGAATGACCTTACTTATTATAAAACATTTGGGTTAATTTAGCAAATTTCAACTCGTTAATTAATCCTTCCTTAAAAAAAGTAAGAAACCTTTGGCTTTTAAAGGTCTACCATTATTTGCGTTTGCTATTAATATCACCTTTAATATCGAATTATATATGAGTAATAGTAAAAATATAATAATTGATGGAACATTGAAATGCAAATGCAAGAACTAGAACATAAATTAAAACATTAATATGCAAAGAATTAGATACTCCAGGCTTTACCATAATAACTCAATGTCTCAATGTCAAAACATCAAATTTTTCGTTTTTTAGAGAAAAAATGATTACATACTTTTATTTCTATCTGAACGTAAATAAATCCATCAGAAGTTTAGGATTTTGAAAAAAATATTTTACCTGTTAATGAAATTATATGTCATCAAAAGAAATACAAAGTTATTATCATGATTGGTTGCGTATTATAAGTTTTGGCACGCTTTTTCGTGTTTAGGGCAGTTGAATTTTATATTATAGAGACTAGTGAACGCTTTTAAAGGAAAGCTATCCAAGCACTTAACAATCCTTAGTGGCAGTGTATAAACACTCTTACTCCTACAACAAAGTCCAAGACACCAGACTCACAACACGTACAAGTTTAAAATGTTTTCTTTTCTATTTCATGCTGTGACATGAGTGGTGATAAATAAATAGAGCCTTTACAGCAGCAAACCTGCAGACTAAGCAAATTACCATCTGCCTGATTGTCTTTTCAGTAAAATATTTCTTATACATCTCGTGTATATTCCGTATTAAAATAACTAGGTTTAACCAATACTGTGATTTGCAGTTACTGGAAAGGTAATATCAAAAGTATGAAATAAAAAAAATTACAAATTTGGTCAAGATGGGTTGTATCTATAAACAATCAAAATTTAAGCGTTAACTTATTCTCTGAAAGAAAAACGTAGGAATTTTTAATGTTTAGATTTTTTTGAATTTTTTTAGCTTTTATAGCATTTCGAGGGCGAAAACAGTACAATCCGATATTTAGCCTATAATGACCCTCTTGAAGAATATTTAAGAACTAGAAATGGTGCTGTTTTTATGCTCTGGGGACATTGGTCCAGGGTCCAGGTATTTGATATACGACAATAGCTTACTCTTCAGATAGAAAATTCACTAAAACTCTCGCAATTTTCCATCAAAATATAGAACCACTACTAAAAAGACAAACAACAGTCAAAAGGTAAAACATAGTAGGTTATAAAAAAATGACATTCAGTTAATATTTAAGAACAGATATGCAAAAAAATCTTTAAAATGTGCAGATCTTTAAATTTAAAACTAGGTTTATCCACTAACAATACTTAATCCTAGTAAACCTTTTGTTTCGTCATCCATTTACAGGAGATAAAAGTTATCTTATCCAATAGAAACGGTGAAGAAATACTGCTCCATGTGAGAGATTCTTAACCTTCAAAGCAAAACCTAAAAGCAATTTACAAAAGAATCGTCAGTTTCCTCAACCAGTGTACTTCGTTTCACCAACCTCATCACTTAGAGATGAAGGCCTACAAATTTTTCAAGGTTTCTTTTATGCATGTACTTTATATGTTTAAAAGCATACAAATTGTGCTTTTAATTTGTTTGAAATTTTTTTATAGCTGTGTGAATACCAGATTTTAGTTAAAGGAAACCCCCAGTACCAAGACACTAACAAACCAATATCTGTATTACTTTTTAAAACACCCTATTTGTTATGTTGTTTACGTGTTTGAGTAGGTTTTATACTTTAAGATGACATGTTGATACATGTCATGTATCTGACTAACCCCTGTTCACAATGCTAAGAGGACAATTTAAGATACCAAGGACTAGTGACAAAAATCTGTATAAAGCTGTGTTAAAATTGAAACTATATTCAGGAAATATTTCAATTTTTATTCGACTAAAGTTCCATTGAGAAATTTAAAGGCAATAACCAAATGACAAATGTTGAATCAATGTAAATATCTTATAAATTTAAAGAGATTCTAGAAACCAAACGGAAATTAATGGTGTCAATATGAACAATTTTATGGTTTTTTTCTTTCTTTTTGTTCTTTTTTACTTTAAGTAATATTATTAATGTTTTGATTTTATTAATTCATTATGAATATACTGCTAAACGGTAAGGATGGATTTTTAAGATCTAGCTCATACTCCTCGGATTTGCATATTTTATATTTTACATAATTTTTTTACAACTAAGTACCTTACTTAAATGAATTTTATTTATAAAATATAAGTACTAGCCCTATATGCTTTCATTTATATAGAATACGAAGTGTTTTTTGGAATGCTCTAATAGATTTTCTAATTAAAACCATGGATATATTATGGCTCTTTTCACCCTATCAGAGGTAAAACGAAGTTAAGTTAAAGCTTAACTTAATATAATCTTTACTATATAGCATTAATCATAGAGTAATGTTACATTCGATGGCTCGTAACCTGCTGTGCATAACTGTAGTTATTACTTACGTTATTGCATTACGTCTCGCTCATGTATAACTATAACAAGATTCAGAGTGAGCTCAAGTTTCAGTACTGTAGTTTTATGTATCCCAGCTTATATCCACAGCTTTATATATTTATAGAGATTGCCAGGATCACATTTTACCGCCTACGGTGTCTGATGTAGAAATATTATATCCTCTCAAACTCAATGTGACTATATGTGAGTACAGTTCACAAAACCTTG